CGGAAGCTAAAAAAGTTCCTAAAGTTGCCAAACCTGAGAACACTGCAAAACAACTAGACACAAAGATGGTTTCTTTCCCCTCGTGCCATCACTCTGCTAAACAAGTAAGTCCCTCAAAGGCTGCATTAAGCCTTCTCATCATTCCTATCACCCATCTTCTCCCATTGATGACTGCAGGACTGTAACTTTATTGCTTGTATCCTTACAATTTATATTGATATTTTTTCCTGATTGCTTATTTGTACCCTGTGACTATCATTAAGTGTTGTACCTTATGATTCTTGATGAATGTATCTTGTCTTTTTATGTACACTGAGAGCATAGGCACCAAAGATGTGTTTGTCCAATCACTCTTGGCAATAAAGAATTCTATTCTATTCCATTCCATTGTTAGGATCCCTCCTTCTTGGGTGCATTAGATAAAGCGAAACCACCTTTCTAATCAGAAGCCCAGCATCAACTTCTAAATAAGGGCCAGAACTATTGTTAAGTCTGCTTGGCCTGCTTCCCTCATCCTGTCCGGGGTCTGCACCGAAATCCTAGGAAATCCCACCTGAACCTTCTTCCATATCCCAAGGAAGGGGGCATCCTGGTTTTGACCTGAGCGCTGCCTGCCCAGAATAAGGAAAGCCAGGACAAAACAAGGGAAGAGTCCAGGCAAAGAGGAGGGGGGAGCAGGTCCCTTGCTTGGGGAGGGGCTGCAGAGCCTCACTCCCATCGGGGGTCCCGGCTTCCAAGCAAGGTTGCTTCCCGCGCCAGGCGCTCCAAGGGGCTCCGCTAAAGGGCGCTCCGGGACGGGCAGCAGCCCCGCACCAGCCGCAGCGCCCAAGCGGCTCCTTCGGCGGGCGAGACGCCCAGCGCGGGCCATGCCTCTCCGGGGCGCGGCGCCTCTCTCGCTCGGGCAGGGCGGCATCCGCTCCGCGCGCGCCCGGCAAGGATTGCCCGAGACCAGGAAGCGCCCAGCGCCGTCCGGAGCCTCCGGCAACAGGCAGTCCGAAGACGGCCGGGAAGGGGAGGGAGGGTGCGGTTGAGAGCTGCCCGCACCGGTGGCCGCAGGACCTCCTCTTCCCTCTTTCTTCGCTCGCTCCCTCCCTCCTTTCTTCCTTCTCTCCTTCTTCTCCCACTTCTTTCCTTTCCCCCTCTTTTCTCTCCTCCCTCCCTCCTTATTTCTTTTCTTTCCGTCCTCCTCTCCACTCTCCTTCCTTCCCTCTTTCCTTCTCTCCTATCTCCCTTCCTTTCCCCCTCTTTTCTCTTCTCCCTATTTCCTTTCCTTCCTTTTTTCTCCCCACCCTCCCTCCTTCCTTCCCTCTTTCCTTCTCTCCTATCTCCCTTCCTTCCTCCCTATTTTCCTCCCTCCCTCCTTTCCTTCTCTCCTATCTTCCTATCTCCCTTCCTTCCTCTTCCCTCCCTTCCTCCTCCTTTCTCTCCTTCCTCCTTTCCTTCTCTCTTCTCCCCTTCCCTCCTTCCTTCCTCCTTTCCCTCCTTCCGCCCCACTCACTCGGCGGCGGTGGTGCCGTTGATGGCGGAGCCGTCGGGCGCGGGGGTCAGCTGAATGGGCCCCGGCTTCTTCNTCCACACCAACCAACCCCATTGTCAGCATTCCAAATATCATGCAGAATTAAATCAGAGTCCAAGGCAAAGCTATCCTTAAAGTTCCAATTTAATAAGACAGACATGTTGGCACAAACTGTGGAATCCCGAATCTGAAAGCTTCCTGGGTTTCCACCCAGTTTAAAGTTCAATATCTTGCCCCCACACCCACAAGTTCATCACATGGTCCACACTGGCATTTCCACCCATCTAGTTCCGGTCAGGTGCAGAGGTGCAGAGACAAAGAATTACCTTGGGCTTCTAGAAGGGAACGACAACAACACATTCTACAATTCCACTCCTTACTATTCCCCCTCCCAATTACTACACTAATGAAACAGCATAGGAAAATAATAGAGTGTGGCAGGCCAAATATCCTAAAAGAAATATAACTGCAGGCCTGACACCCATTCTGTATTCTATTCTACTCTGCTCTGTTTCACTTCACCCCATTCTGAATTCTATTTCTATTTTATTCTGTTCTGCATTCTATTCTGCTCTGTTCTGTTATTCTATTCCACCCCACCCCACCCCACCCTATTTTGCATTCTATTCCATTCCTATTCCACTGAAATTAAATGCATGTCAATTTCATGTTAGACTGAAGGTGATTGTTGCTTTCAGAACAAGCCTCCCCAGTCGGTGCCATCTGTCCTATAATCCGCCATATTGTCACTTCATATAATAAATAAATCTCACAACCTCCACAGCAGTTGGCAAAGCAACCAACTATTTATTTCTGTTCGAAGAGCTAGGAAAGGCTGTTTAAAATCCAGATTTAAACGGCACACAACCCACCATAGGGGCAAGCTTCAAGATTTAAAATAAGTATGATTATACAGAGTACTTTTGGCCAATTTCAAGGAACTTACAACACTCCATGTAATTCAGCAATGAAAGATTTTGGAGAAATTCAGGCCTTTACTCAGGAAGGCTGAGAAGTAGTTAGATGAGATGACTTCTAGGAAGAGAAAATGTTTTCTCAAGGTTTATTCTGAAGACAATTTTGCCCAAAGGCTATAAGTTCACTTATCAAGAAGAGCCATTTTGGAGATCTGAGATATGGTAGTAGAGAAATGAGCCTGAAACCAATATTTGATTCATTGGGGTTCATCTAAAAAGAGGTCATTTCTGCCATCTTGACATTTTTTGATGGCCATGGTACGGCAAGATCTATTTTGTATTTAACATGATTGATCTGTAAGGAGAATTTTTTCTTCCCTGCAGGCCTACCCATACTTGCAATTTGGTGGTGGAAGGTCACCATGGGTGGCAACCATCCCTAAAGAAGTCATAGTGACACCTTAAGCTTTACTTCCTGGACAGGTAAAAGTTCCCCTCGCACATAAGTGGTAGTCGTTCCCGACTCTAGGAGGCGGTGCTCATCTCCATTTGAAAGCTGAAGAGCCAACACTGTCCAAAGATGTTTCTGTGCTCATGTGGCCGGCATAATTAAACACCAAAGGCACACGAAGCGCTCTTACCTTCCCACCAAAGGTGGTTCCTATTTTTCTACTTGCATTTTATGTGCTTCTGAACTGCTAGGTTGGCAGAAGCTGGGACAAGTAACGGGAGCTCACTTCATTACGTGGCGCTATGGATTTGAACTGCTGAACTGCCAACCTTTCTGATCGACAAGCTCAGCTTCTTAGCCACTGTGTCACCAATTTGCTTGGTCCTTATGTGCCCCTGAGAAAACATTCCAGAAGCAGTGAAATCGTGAGTAAAAGTTGCCTCCTTATCCTCGCTGGGAAGGACCACCAGCTAACAATGTTCCCACGGAATTCGTGATGGAGAAGGCCTCAGTCAGAGAGCAGATGTTGGTCAAGAATTGCTTCTTCCTCTTTAAGTAGCCCCTGACTCTATGCAGGACAAAGCAAGCAATTTCATCATTCCCCCCATCGGATGTCCTCTGTGTGCAATGAGTGGTGTGGTGGCCTAGAAGGTGGAGCTCTCACCTCACAATCAGGAGGCTGTCAGTTCAATCCTAGGTAGAGGCAGATATATTTCTCTCTCTGGGCACAATGAGAATGTATTTGCTGAACAAAACTCCTCATTGGCAACAGGAAAGGCATCCAGCCCATAAGCACTTCTGCTAGCTCCATTCAGTTGCCCAGACTCCACCCTGCAAGGGATTATGGGGTTGTTGAAAGATGATGATGTCCTCTTTGTGCAATGGGAGAAGAGGAGGTGAAGGAGACTCAACCGGGATGAAAGAAATCTTGTCCACGCTCCTAATGAAGCTCATCAAGATGTTCTCCGCAGTCAAAGTATTCTGTATCTCAAGACTTTATCAAACAGACATTCACAGTGATAAAAGCCTCCCACAGGCTTCCCCAACCTGCTTCCCAGATGTGCCAGCCTGCAACACTCATCACAGCAGCCCAGGGAAGGCTGCCCCTGCTTAGGGTAAAGACCTGCCTGGAATAACTGGAGAATGCAGAAGAAACCAACTGGCTTGGTGGAAGGCATCTCCCGAAGGAAGCTGGATTGGGGCCAGGGAATGTTTGCGCACAAGGCAATTTGCCGTAGCACAAACCACACAGGAACAGATGCTGGGTTGGAGGAGACCAGCTGAAGATGTCAGCTGCTGCTTTCATGATGAAGCTACCAGAAGCATCTGACTAAGAAGCTAACAGAATGCCAGATGAGAAGCATCTTTGGCCCAAAGTAATGAGCTCCCTTTCCTCTTCCACGAAAAAAAAAAGGAGACCTACACAAAATTGCTCTTCCCTGTTTTATAAGGCATATAATAATATGATTTCATAATATCAAAGGTTCTCATCAACTTACCACTATTTTTTTAATGACATTTTGATGACAAGTTATGATGAAGCCGGACAAAGTGACTTACGTCCCATCCTTGAATTTACACTTGCACCCCCCCCTCACGGTTGCGTGATTACGATTCAGGCACCCGCAAACGGGCTCGCATTTGTGAAAGCTGCAGTGTCCTGTGTTCGCAGGGTTTCAATTTGCAGCTTTTCCCAGCCAGCTTCCAACAAGTCAATGGGGAAGCCTGCGGGAAAGGTTACAAATCGTATCATGTGAAGTCTCGCTCAATGACCATGGTGGTTGACTCAATAAACGTGGCAAGAAAGTCGTAAAATAGGGTGCAGTCATGTGAAGCCTCACTTAAGAATTGCACACAATGAGTTTTCTGGCCCTGGTTGTGACTGCATGTCAAGGGCTCCCTCTAATAGTGAGTAAAAGGGAAGCAGAAACTAAACAGCTAATATAGCAGCAATAGCACTTACAGCTTCACAGTGTTTTTACAGCCCTCTCTAAGCAGTTTACAGAGTCAGCCTCTTGCCCCCAACAAACTGGATCTTCATTTTACCCACTCTGGAAGGAAGGAAGGAAGGAAGGAAGGAAGGAAGGAAGGAAGGAAGGAAGGAAGGAAGGAAGGAAGGCAGGCAGGCAGGCAGGCAGGCTGAATCAACCTGGAGCCGGAGAGCTTTGAACTGCAGAACTGCACCTTGCAGTCAGCTGAAATAGCTTGCAGTACCGCACTCTAACCACTGAACCACATCGGCTCATATATATTGCACCAGAGGTTGTTCAGCTGTTTGCTGCTGGAGGAAGTGGTGGGTGGAAGAATGGAAAAACCAATTTCCTGTCCTTCTACACCACCTTGTTGGTGGATGAGACCTTCGGAGATGCTAGACTGGAGTCCCTCACGCAGGGCGAGACTGTATTGGATTAGACTTACTCACTCCAAGAAAGGAGGGGACCACCTGGGAAAGGTCTCTTCCAACCCTATCTCTTCATGCCCAGGTGTAATGGAAGGCAGTCTGGATTCCCAGGAGGGATTGGGTCAGAGGTGAAATGTAATTTTTTTTGCCACCAGTTCTCTGGGTGTGGCTTGGTGGGCAGTGGCTTGGGGGTAGGTGTAATGTGACTGGGTGGGAGTGGCCAACTTTTTTTTTAATTTTTAAAGCATTTTTTACTACCTATTCGCCCAAACTTGTAGTAAAAACTGCTTTAAGAAGTGGGGGGAAAAAGGTTCAGTTGTGCCGGGCAACCATGTGAACCTTTTTTTCTACCAGTTTAGGTGAATACGTAGTAAAAAGTGCTTTAAAAAGTGGGAAAAAAAGGTTTTGACGATCGCATGGCACAGCTGATTGTCATGGAACCTGTCCCCCCACTTTTTAAAGCATTTCTTTTCCTGCCATTAGGCAGGGGGAAAATGCTTTAAAAAGGGGGGGGGAAGCTTCCGACAATCACAGCTGATCCACGCGATCGTTCGGAAAAATGTTTCCTGCTTTTTAAAGCATTTTTTTCCTGCCTATTCGCCCAAACCAGCAGAAAAAAAATGCTTTAAAGAGCCGTGCGATCTTTGGAAGCTTTTTTTTAAACTACTGGTTCACGGAACTAATGGCGATCGTCCCTAGCGGTTTGCGCAAACCAGTGAGAACCGGTAGCATTTCCCCCCTGGATTGGGTGCAATCCAGAGGAGTCAGAGAGAACTGAGTTCAGATAACTTGTGTAAGAGAAAGAGGGTGAAGATAACTCCTCCCTATCAGTTCCCAGAATACATGGCGGAATATCTATGGAGTTTCTCTGCCATCCAGGTCATGGTTGTCCCAAAGGTGCTTTCTTTAAAAAGGCAATTGGACTTTCCTTCCTTTGCTTGAAGACATTTTGCCTCTCATCCAAGAAGTTTCTTCAGTTCTGACTGAATGCTGTGGAACCGAAAATGCTTCTTGGATGAAAAGCGAAACATCTTTAAGCAAAACAAGGGAAAGTCCAGCTACCTTTTGAAATAAAGTCCCTTTTGGGATAATGGGGATGGCACATTGCTTTAGTCTGGCAAGAATATGTTAACAGGTGAGGAAGAATAAAAGAATCTGCTTGGAAGAATTACCATGTGGGGAGTCCTTGACCTACCACCATAATTGAGCTCAAAATTTTGTTGCTAAGTGAAACATTGGTTGTGAATTTTGCCACCTTTTGTGCCACAGTTGTTAAGTGAATCACTGCAGCTGTTA